CTCTCACCAAGGAAAAGAGGGACCTGATAAGCTGAGCTCATCAACTGAGCAACCAAGTGTCTATGGTGAACTTCAAAATAAAGTTCTCTGTTTATTGATGTGATATTTAAATCCATATTTGTGTAAGAACACACCATTGTGATTCTACAACTTTATGACGAACGCTGTGATACTTACTGCTCACTGAACTGAAAAGGAAACCCTGCTCAGAAATCCAGGAATGAGAAAATTCTATTTCACTTCCAGTTTGAATCAAGCAGACTATAAAATGGAGTCATTTATAACACTGTAATTGTCCCACCACTGTCAGACAGGAGGGGCAATCTGAGCCTTTCTCCTTTGAAACTCATTAGAGAAGATTTAACATAATAAATGACCTCATACTCATTAGGAAATAGAGGTGTTTGGGAGATTTAATCCAAATGAGGAAAGTTTGCAACCCTTAACATTTTTGTACAAAATGCAGCAAACCAAATCCTCGCAAGAGCCTCAGACTGAGATTTACTCTCTCTGCTGGGTTATTAATGAATGTGCTAGGCTGGTTCAAATGAGTCATGCAGAGCTGCAGCAGATTTCTGTGTTCTTAAACATCTCATTACAGCATGTGTCAATATGGCAAGGTTACAACTGCTAGAGAGACACAGAGACAAAACTAGACATTAACATCTGAATTTCAGCAGTGATTTTTTAAAACCCTAAATATTAAGTATTTTCCACACAGAAATTAAATAGAGTGTGAATAGCATGGTTACTTGCCATATTTCATTATGTAAAACTCAATATCTAGGAGATGATTGTTCATACTGAACCATGATCTTTTTTTAAGATTTCCAGAATAAAGAGTAAAAAATTAGGCTTTGATTATCTACAAAACACTCACTTTACTAAAATTGAAAAATTTTTTGAGATACCTATGTTTTCAGAAAGGATGGCATTTTGTTCACACAAACTAAAAAATCATTAAATAATCTTTTCAACATAAAATAAAATCGAAACACTCTTTCAAAGAACTGTTTCAGCATTAGTCCTCTGAGACATGTACTGTACTGTACAAGCCATAAGGAATAAAATATGTAATATCTACTAGTATTAGGAAGGTTAAACCACAGAATTTTCTTAAAATGTCAATGTTATGCAAAACAGATTCATTGAGAGTCTCTTGCACTGAGGAACCCTACAAATGCTGTACATCATAAGTTATTTTGTTTTATCTAGAGGCTAGATTAGGCTATGAGTGACTGACTTTACAAATATCAAGAGGAAAAAATATTTTTATTATACCCATTGGAACAATCTTTCCTCTCTTACCACATACATTTTATATCTCTTCTTAATCCTCTTTAGAACCACAAGAATCCCAAGGGATCACACACATGGCTCTCTTCATTTCCTTTTGATATATACATAGCTATGTTTTACAGTTTTTTTTTCATAAAGCATATTAAGATAAAATTAAATATAAGACATAAGTTAGTAGTTTTCATAGGAGCATGACAAGACTGCAAAAAAAACAGGAAATTGGAGGAAATCTTGAATGCTAACAATTCACTTTTCAATCCAACAGACAGATTGGAAAGCACTGAAACTGCAACTGAAACCACAAGAATTCAAAAGTAAAGGATGGTTAAAATGTGCCTGTTATATTATTTGAAAAGTGTGGTTCCACAAAAAATGGAGGAAAAATTATTTATTAAGATCAATGTATTTAATTCTGCAAGTAAAACTAATAATTAACTGAGAATGATAGTATTTTTAATGCTATTTCAAGTATAGCTATTCTTTACCGCAATAAATCTAAGGAAAAGCAAGATGCTATGACTTTAAATTAACTTATGTTGAGCACAGTGGGTACCAGAGCCAATTCATGTTGCCATGACAACAGACACTGAAAATTTAAACATCCAGTGACAGGCTGAATTCCCTGTAAAGAAGCTACTCTGCATTAAAATGATATACTAGTGAAACATTAAACAGATCTACATGCAACATGTTTATTTTAAGCAGACAGCTTGATTATAACTTTTAAAGAATACAACTAGTCAAATACTAAGTTTATTATTTCAGTTTAAATTTCTCCAAGATTTAAGTCCAGTAAGTAAAAAGATCAAGCAGCTAATGAAGAAAGGCTCTTGAAAGAGGATACATTTTTATTTTTTGTGGAGTGCAGTTGCTTTATCTCTCTGTCATATCTATTTGATTAAATTACCTTTGCAATATATATTATCCCATATACAAAATGAAGCCTGTATATACAGCAGGCTGTGCTTCGCATATTCATTACAAGCAGAACATTTGAAAGCATCATAATGTATAACCACTGCACAGAAAAATCTTTAACAAATTATAAAATTGCTGGATTTGAGGATGAATATGCTCTGCTTGCATCTGGCAGAGTTTTTATATTAACCAGCCTCATGTATTCGAAATGCAGAAGAATTTGTTGTACCTGAGCAGAAAGTTACAAATCACAGGTATAAACTAACTGGAGGGGAAAGGATTTCAGTATCTACCTGTAAGCCTCTCCAATAAAAGGATTCAGGAAAGGTAGGCATGAAGCAAAACCACCACCACAACTTATAATGATGAAAAATCAGCATTTGACAGTATGTGGAACAGAAGACACTGCTTTACATCTGGTAAGCAAAATCCTTCCTAAAATAGGACACCTTTAAGTAGCTATCCCTTAAAAGAATCACACTGACAAAGCTGTGCCAGTTTTTGTTGGAGAACTGATTGTCAGTAGCTCTAAAGTAAGAGGATTTAATTAACTATTCCTACTTCATGGTGTCTTTAATTCATCCATTAACGTTAGAAAACATTACCACGATTTATGTCTAATTTTTAATTTCCCTCTTAGTATTTCTCAAATTGTCCTCTTCAGTTCCTGGCACTCCCATTCTTCTGCCATCTATGAGACTGGACAGGAAGCTGACAAATCCATTTTGGAGAATTCCAAACATTTATGAAAATAACGATATCATCTTTCTGAACATCAGCTTGTTAATACATTTACAAATGGACTTCTTGCATAGTCACTGCTGAGGTACAACATCTGGAAAAACACTGGCACTGACTGTCGGCCTCCAGGGTACTACCAGGCTCTGCAACTTCCTTTCACCCATCCATCTCCCCTCCTCTAGGTTTGTCCATTTGTGACAAACAAGTCAGCTCTCAGAGAGCGCAGTCATACTCCCCATTTGCTGGGAGCAGAGCTGTGTGAGCAGCAGCCAGGAGAAGCCTCATGGGACATTGTCCCTGCTTCTCCTGGGAGCTGCATCCTGGTCTGGCTAAAGTCCCTGGCTTGAGCTACACTGCAAAATCCTGTGCCTGGTTATGCATGCCCCTGCACCCACCTCTGACCCACTAGGACCTGCCTCATTACTCTTGTATGTTGGTCCTGCTGCTAGTCCCTTGCTCTTGTCAGTGCTCCCTCCTGTTCCTGGGCTCTGTGGGGCTGCAACCTGTCTTCCTCCCTTCTTCAGCACCCACTCAGCATCCACTCAGCACCCACTTCCCAACCCCTGCACAGCAGCACCCTCCTGGTGCTTCCTCATATCCCTTTGCTGAAATGCTCATCTGGGCTTTTACTTCTTGCATTGCTTGAAGCAGGAAACACTATTATTTATTTACATGGGACTCTGTAGCAACATAAGGAAGAAATAATGCATGAACAAAAACATGGCACAGTTACTAGATCCAGTTATCCAGCTCCATCATGCACATGCCAGAACATGCTTAGGCCAGGTGTCTTCCTAATGCCCATGAAGGACTCCAGGTGCCGTGCAAAGTAACAGCACAGTAACACCTTACTACTGCAATGACAGACTCAGAATAATGTGTTTTCCCAGTTGTAATGGAGATTTAGAGCTTACAGGTTCTTTCACAGATCAGTCGAACTTTTGTTTGCCTTGTGGACTTCTTCCCTACACAACGTAAACATTTGTGAGGAAAATGTTATCTTATATATATACATCCATCCATACATATATATACACACACACATATTTTTGTAAAAAATGTATATATCTGTTATCTTACCATGAATTGCTGATACAATATGTTGTGTTTTTTCAATAGTCATCCCTATTTATGCATCAAGGATGAGTCATTAGCTCATTACCTCTTTTGAGGGCTTTCAGCGGACAGAACTTGAAGAGAGCTGCCCACACAGAGAAGCATTATGTGTTTGTGGTGACCTTCTGGGAATGTGTTGAAAAGATGAGAAAATGGGAACATTTTGACAGCAAAACAGGGCAGCTCTGAGCAGAAGCAAAGTAAGGCAGCAAATTGCCTGGAGAAGGAAAACATCTGGCATCCTTCAGTGCTCCTGCTGAAGGAGAGGTCAAGACTGGTAGAGTACCCCTGGGAATATAAGAGCAGAAGCAGAGCATCCCTTCTCAGAAACAGATGTTCTAATTGTGTTCTAGGAAATACACCAGGAACAGCAATGAAAATAAACTCCATTTTCCATCATTCAACTCTCCAGTTCCTTTTCCTTTGGCTGCTGTCTTCCTTCAATGACAACTGTAGATGAGCTCTGTCCACTCTAACTCATCTTCAGATCTGAAATACTGGCTCTGGAACCACGGAGAAGCCTCCAGTGGGCAGAGCCTACAGAAGGTAAGGACCTGGCTTCAGCACCTCTAACATGTTGCAATGAGGAAACAGACAGTATAGCATGTGCCAGTTTATTATCACCAAACAACTCTCCCATTTCTCACTAAAATGAAAGATACATTAAAGCATACAAGACATCAATATATCTGTTTGGTTTCATGGAAGCTGAGCAGCCAGAGCCCATCCCACAGCACCAGCCAAGAGCAAAAGGTAGCCCCAGTCAAGGCATTGGGCTCCTCCCTGGGAGTGGGGACAGCTGTGGTAGAGCCCATAGACCATGAGGGCAGTGCTGTGGAGAGCTGGAGAAGGTCCCTGCTGTGGTATTGCTGGAGTAGGGGCTGACAGTCCCAGGGGGCTGAGATGCAGTCCTGGCCCGTGGATAGGTGGAGGAAGCCCCAGGAAAGAAGACAGGCAGAGTTGTCAGTGCCCATGATATTAGTGACTCACACTGACTGACATTTCCCAGCAAAATGTAGAGCTGTTATTTCACTGTCGAGGAAAGGCAAGTTTGTTCAATGAATTTTATATCAATTTTTGCTTATATTTAAATACAATATTTTTTTTTAATTAACATTTCAAATACTCCTGAAGAAAACTTGTGCCATAAAAGTTATAAAGTCCTCAGCAACAAATATCCTGCTGCCCCTTTTCTACAGGCAAAACAGTTGAAGAATATGAAGATTTGTCTTCATATGGATCATGACTGAAGTTTCTTTCAGGGTCTACCATGCCAAAACTGTAGTCTGCCAATGCTTCCTATTTTTTAATTGCACTACAAAAACATTGCTATATAAGTCTCCTAGCAGTGCAGTGGATTCAATTTTCCCTAGTAAGCTCACACATTCTTATGTCTTACAAAAAATGTCTGCTAAGTCAATAAATTCTTCCTTTACTTTCAGACTATTAACAAGACTGCCACTTATGACATGAAATATCTCATAATAACATTAGATGGCACACAAAGAACAGCAGGCATGACTTTTAATTAAGATAAAGAGATGGGTTGAGTAATGCTGTAATAAAAATTGCATTTTAGAAATAAAACATCCATCAGAGTACTTGCTGTAAGTTTTCAAGGCTTTTTTAGGAACAGTAAGTCAAATAAATCCTCTTTTACAATAAGTACATTAACCTTCACCTTCAAGAGATTTTGGGGCCTTTCTGGTTAATTTAATCATCAAAATTTAGGACTATTTCCTGTTCTAGTTCTTCTAGAACTGCTCAGTAAACCACAAAGTTTACATTGACAAAATGGGGGTTTTGCAATTAGATATTTCAGATTCTTCAACATAAATCAGCCCAAACTCATGAAGTAAAGTAATCGTAAAATGAGCCCAATTATTTTTAGGTGGAATGTATTTTGTTTTCTGACTTCCTGGAACAGTTTCATATTTTCTTCTGCATAACAAAGAAACCAATCCATGAGATGACTAAGAGATGAAGCAGCTTTGGTGATTCATCCTAGCTCAAGAACAAGCATGTACATAGCAAAATAAAAGAATGCATTTACTCAATACAGATTTCTGGTGATTTACTTAACAGCAACAAAAGCATATCGCTCAGGACAGGCCTGCACCAAGTAATAATAGCATGGCCTATTTTTTCTCTTTCCTGTGACTGAAAGTAATGCACATTATTTAAGGATTGCTTATTCTCTACTGAAATATAACCACTTCAGTGACATTGAATTCATGTTATTGAAATATCTCTTGCAACATTTTGAGGAGTTAAAGCACTTTCAATGGAACAAAAAGCAAATAGTTTAAAACATTACAGTAGAGACAGAAAACCTGAAGATATTATATTTTTATTCTCTCTTTTGTTGTTTTTTAATAGATGGCTTGTTTTACTGAAAGTAAAGTGGTAAGTGTTCTCAAAATCAAATGCAATCTACAGTTATGTAGATTTTAGAGAAACAACTCAAATTTTATGGAAAATCAAAGATCATTATATTTCTTTATTTTACAGTTTTGCCTGATGCCATCCTGCTGATACTGCAGACAGCTGTAGAAGTATCTGAGAAAGAATTCAGAAATTCTTTTAGTAAGACATGGAAGATGACATCGAGAATTCAGTGTCAAATTTTGTGATCCTTACACTAACATACCTCAGCAGTAGAGACTTACTTTGTAGTCATTTTTTACTGCATGCAGCATTGCACTTTGACCCGTGACTGAGAGCAAAGGCCTCAGATAATAATGCTCCTTATTCAACCAGAAAGCTTGCAATTAACCCAAGAATGATACTACCTCCCTGCTTTTCCTAAGACTTTATCAACTGCATCTGATGCGCTCCCAATGTTTGCAGCTGGCATATTTATTTTTCTAGGATATTGTTTAAAACAGATACTGGCACAGACTACTGTCACAAGACAATTCAAAGCATTTCTGAGCAACATTCGTTGGACAACAAAGTGCTGCTGTTTAACTGTAGAGACTGATGGCACCATAATGTTTGACTGAATTCTTGCATCATTAAGGTAAGGCATGCATATCATTATACTTGGTGAAACAAACATTTATGATAGGGAACCATGCAGAATTTAATACTCACATGGTGTATCTAAGCCTCTGTAGCATGTTCTTGTCATTTTGTAAACTTGGCTCATTGTGAAACATTTGGGGGCCTTCTAATTTTCTAAACTAAAAGAACACCTATTACTTTATCAGAGAGCTATTTCAGACATAGATTTTGAAGTTCTCTACTGTAGTGACTTAGCGTTATAAATGTCACTGGCATAAGACATTTGGAAATTTTAATTAGTCCATATAGAGGTATTGCATGCCAGAGGAGAGAGTTTGGGCTAATACACTAGAGAAGTACAGTATTCGCTAGATAAGTATCCTTAATACAGCCAAAAGTGTCTTTTGATGGAGGGGGTATCACAAGCACATTTGAAATGCATCAAAGTTTCTACCACTTGAGCTAATACAAGATAGCACCATAAAAGACTTTAAGTCCTTCTCACAGAATGAACAAGGTCTCTGTTTTAAAGAAAGTCGGGAATTTTGTCCATGAGATACAAAATACCATGCAAAAACTTTGCATGTGCAAGAGAGAGTGAATTAAAGATAACTGAGACTAGAAGGCTTCCATAATCAATGCCAATTCATTGTGACTGTGTTAAATACTAACTTTATCATCTGGACCTTTTGGATTTTTACTTGTCAGAATAGCAGGAGATAGTAGTTGAAGTTACCCTTATCATGTCATGAGTAATGGGAATGCAGCAATTTGGAGCTTGTGAAAAGAAGAATTAAGTAGAAAGCCTGGCTAGAGTGCAAATTTTTTATTTATTCTTCCAGAGAAGCAGAAAAAAAATGGTGAAGGCCATTGTCCAAGCTAAGGGAAAATTTTTAAAATCACTTACCTGGAAAGAAGGCCTGCATTGATCAATTTGAAAACAAGCTGCAAACACTGTGGCAGCTTTTAGCAAGTTATACATATTAATGTTAATTTGAATAGATCTCTAGAAACTTCAGCAAGATCTGAATTCTACTGTTAGTTTCAGATCTTTTCAGATACAGGACACAATGCCAATGTTGAGTCTTAAAACAGAAATACAAAATGATGAAAGAAATGTGGTGGTAGGGATAGATGAATGCATAGAAATCACAAGGACCAACTCCATATTAGACATTTCAGTGGTACTCCACAATGTATGTCATCCCTGTACTGATGAACTGCCTCCCCAGGCTACAAGATAATTCACTTTCCATACTGTGTCATCAACAAGGAGCTAACAAGGTGTTCAGAGTCAGATGCGAATCAGGTTTTAAGCTGAAGCTTAATGTCTGGGCTCAAGGCCAGATCATGCCAGAGATCATATTCAGAGACATAAATCTGATGAGCTCTTCTCACAAGGTATCAACTAAAAATGACATCCTCTTGAAATAATGGAAATCTCACAACATCTGCCAGTTCTACTGCATTGTGCATTGTATTCCTACACTCAGAACAGCAGAGGTTAAAGCTCATGGACAGAACTTTGGCGCCAGTTGAGCAAAACACATTAAGAACATGGTTAAGTTGAGCCCTAACATAAAAAAAGCATAAACTGAGGCACATATTTGTACTTAGTCATTTGCTAAAGTGCTCCTCTTAATCAGGGCCTGATTCTGGAAAATGAGGTTCTGACAAAACCACCTCATTTACTTTCTATCTTTCAGTCACCCAAATATTGCCTAACTTTACAGAGGTTTTAAATTATGAACTACAAATAATTTTCATAACAATTTATGCCAGGATATGCCAGGACTGCATATGTAACATGTCTAAGAATATCTTACAAGAAAACAAACTGAAAGAAGAGTATACAGTAGAAAGTTTATATTTTAAATTGTAGTATAACACTGACACTATTTCCAAAATTTTCTGGTTGATCTCAGGCTTCCTTTACAGCATATATTTACATTTTCTCTGCAGCTGCTGCTGCCATTTCGGAAGAATGGATGGCACTCATGCTGGCAGATTTAACGACTCAGCTGGATGAGGGAAAATAACAACCTGTGGCTGCAGGCACAGTCTTGGTGTATTAATGATGAGTGGTGATGCTAGTTTAATATCTGAAACACATTCTTCAGTTTCAAACTTGCTCAAAAACAAGAGTGTTTAGGATTACTATTTATATTAGCTCATTATCTATTTGTGTCTTTAGTCTTGAATATCTGTCCTTGACTGAATTGCTTAAAAGTCGGTGGTTTTGATTTTCTGTTCGAGTAGTATACAGTATTCTCCATATGTTTATCCTACAGAAGGAATGAAGTGTTATTGTGTTTCATAGATGCAATAGCAGCATAGTCTCGAACCCTACTTCTATGGAAAGTAAACAAATAAAAAGCAAAGAAAGCAGGAAACAGAGCAAGTTATATTTTCAACAAAAAGAAAAAAGAATTAGCACAGCTACATGGTGTTTTCCTTGAAGTAATGAAAAAAAAACCACTCTTGTGGAATAATTGAAAAATAAAAATATTTAAAATACAATAAAAGTGTAAATTAGGGAACTTCCATATAGAACAAATTATAATAAAAATGGAAGAGGAAATATGAAGTAAAGAACTGTCATGGCGGGGAGCTGTACTGATTAGGAAGTGGGCAATTTAATTTCTCCAGGCTCGTGAAACTCCAGCATAAATCAATTTGTTTCATGCAGAATCCCACCGTTTTCTCTTCTTTTCTCAATCACTGTTTACTACATAAAGTCACACCTCACCTATCTTCTTTGATTGTTTAATTTCAGCAGGATTTTTGTTCCATGGCACTGTTTGTAGAGATAAGTTTTACTCTGCATGTAATAGATAAACACAGTACTTTGGTGCACAAGACCACTCAGGCTATTTCAAGTTTGAAACAAGGTTGTTCCATTATTTTGTTTTCAGCAAGTCATTTAACTGAATCTCAATAACGTATCCAAGCCACAATCCAACACTTCTTTTGCAACAACTCCAACCTTCTTTAGTGAATGTCTTGGATTTCTAATGAATAAATGAACTCCTAAAGGAACACAGGCAGATGAGCTCACCTCAGTAAGTAAGATTAACCTTCACTAAGCTAGTAGGGCTACTTTTAGGATGTGAATGAAGAAAACCAACAGGATCAGATCATGTTTATTGGGCAGATCCACAGAAAGACAACTAGAAGGCCTTAGAAGGGCTTCAGAAAGGTTTCAGAAATTTATGGAAAATACAGATCACTAGGGAAAGTTGATGAATTTCTACATGGTAGGCACACAGAGATTCAGAAGTTTTTGACTGTATTTTGAAAAGTTAATGATGTTCCTGGTTTGGACTGCTTACAGGAAGATGTATAAGAGCAGTCAGTATAGAGTGACCTTTCCTACTGAAACCAAGTAGCACAAGCATAGTTAAAGCACAATAAATTATCAACAAATCAAGTTAGAAATTACTTATGCTAAACCATAAATTTAAACTAATTAGTAAGTTTAATATACTAATTATGATACTGGGTTTCATAAACAAAATGTTCCTTAAAAAACAGTTGTAGTGGTAGCAGTTTACATATCAGCCCACATAGTACCACAGAATTAATTACATTCATGAAAAAGAAGAAGGAAGGAAGCCCTATATATGCAGAATTTCATCCTATATTACTGAAAGATTCTTGTAAATTCCCCTTTATTTTCACTAATAGCTCAATACAGCCCAAACTGTGGAAAAGCTGGTCTTCAAACTGGTCAGGTAAAACTTCCTTTTCACAACATGTGGATCGTTTTTCATGCAAAGTCATGTCTCAAACATACTTATCATTGCCCAGAGAACTTAGTTGCCTTTTTCTAGACCACTAGATGTAAAATTATAGTTGTCCTTACATCATTTTAACTTAGTATCTGACAAGATTTCCACTGCCTAAAGTAGGTCTCAGTCAGTCCTGCCATTAGTAATGTCAGAGAAAAGTATTGTGCTTGACCTCTGAAGAAAATAAAGTTACTTACTTCATTCACCTTTCTCAGTCCCTGTCTTCCCTTAACCTTAAGTTACGGAAAAAGACCTGCTAATATGCATTGATTTCTCTTCCTTACAGTCTGAAATCAACACTGTGGAAGTGTGAGAAGCACCTAAGCTTTAGAGGTAATGGAAAACTACATTCATGAGCAACCTTGCACAGGTTGGATTTATTCTGAGGAATGGCACTGATCAGAGAATCATTGAAGCAGGTTCCTGGTGGCTTCACACTTCTTTGTCGTTACAAAAGATTTGACATTATAAAAAATTTGGCCTGAAGCACTTTATATCTGATTTGTAAATTAATTCTAAGATATTTTCAGACTAACTTCTGAATGTATGTGAAGGACAATACATCCAAGAGTAAAAGCAGAGTACAACCACTGTGACATCTTCTACTGTGTTATCTAATCATATATTTGTTTTATTGCCCAATGAGAATTCAGCAATTTCTGAGGTGAATGGGGACAAGAGATAAAAACAATATTTCTACAAAAGGGCCAACTCTACCCTGGGATTCACTAAGCACAGTATAACTAACAGATCAAAAGTGTCCTTCTACATGTACCATTGCTGCTGTGGCTTCACCTCATGCTGATCTCTTCTCTGGCATCTGCTGACAGGACTCAAGGGAATGACTTAAAGCTGCATCAGAGGAAGTTCAGATTGGGAATTAGGAAAAGGTTCTTTAATGAGGGGATAGTCACGCAATCAAGGAAAATTGTCATGGCCCCAAGCCTATTAGTCTTCAAGAGACATTTGGATAGATGGTTTAAATTTTAGGTTTCCCTGTGTGAAGTTAGAGTTGTACTCCATGTTCATAACAGGTTCCATTCAACTCAGGATATTCTGTTGTTTGATGATTCTAAGAGCCCTCATAAAGCCAAGGTTGCGGGTTCAATCCCTGTATGGGCCATTCACTTCAGAGTTGAACTTGATGATCCTTGTAGGTCCCTCCCAACTCAGAATATGTCATGAACTTTATTTCAAAGCAAAGAGAGATCCATGTAAGTGCCAAATGCCTGTGCTCCCACCACTGTAAATAAGGAATTTGGTTGCTTTCCAACATTTTTTCCATGTTCATGAGTAAAATTGGTCACGTCAATAAAGACAGTATCAGAGTGAATATACCAAAAATACACCAGTGCTGCTAAATGAACCACCTCTTTCTATACTGGGTGTGGTATAGAGGTATTTAGTATAATAGGTATTAGCATTTTAAATATTGTGCTGCTTTAGATACCGCATGGAGTGGGTTGATTTTTTTTCACAGTGACTAGTGTAGGGCTGTGGTTTGGATTTGTGATGAAAACAGTGCTGATAATACGGAGATGTTTTCGTTATTGCTGAGCAACACTTGCACAATGTGAAGACCATTTCTTCTCCTCACCCCACACCACCAGCCAGCAGGCTGAGGGGGACACAAGGAGTTGGGAGGGGACACAGCCAGGACAGATGACCCCAACTGACCACAGAGATATTCCAGACCATATGGTGTCATAGTCAGTACACAAAGCTGGGGGAAGAGGAAGGAAGCAGAGAACATTTGGAGTGATGGTGTTTGTCTTTCCAAGGCAGTGTTATGCATCATGGAACCCTGCTTTCCTGGGGATGGCTGAACACCTGCCTGCCCATGGGAAGGGATAAATTAGTTCTTTGGTTTGCTTTACTTGCTTGTGTGACTTTTGCTTTACCTGTTAAACTGTCTTTATCTCAACCCATGAGTTTTCTCACTTTTATTGTTCTGATTCTCTCCCCAGTCCTGCTTGTGGGGCAGGAGAAAGTGGCTGCATGGGGCTTAGTTACCAACTGGGGTAAAAGCACAACAAATATTCATATATTTTAGAAAAAAAAAAATTATTGTCTGCTAGGACCAGTTTTGATTCCCTGCAAGGAAATTTATTCTGAACTTCAAAATGCTGTTCCAACAAAGAGCTATAGCAATTATGATGGATGTCTCTGCATAACACAGAAAATGAATTTTATGGATCAAATGCCCAGTCTGAAGCTATGACATTGGCCCACAAGTATTCCTTTTCTTTGATCACCTTGGTTGTTGCAAGGAAGGGAAGGAAATAATTTGTGTGGCAATAATTTGCAATTACTAAAAGACATAGAGCAGGCACTCAAAAAAGGATTGACAAATTGCTATGAATTCTCTCTGAAAGGGAGTCCTTATAGAAGCAGCATGTTATGTTTCTAATTGATTCTACAGAGCAGGAAGGCGTCCTCCTGCCATCTGCTCTATTTCAAAGTCAAGAGCCCTTGAGGACATCACTAGTGCAGCAGCAGGCCCTACCACTATTAATCAAGAACTGCATAAGAAGAAATTAATTTTTTTTCACAGGTTGGCAATCCGTTCTGTGGTCTCAGAGTATCAAATCTCACCTCACAAAGTCTTCAGCATTTTTCCATAGAGTTTCTAGTTGAGTAACTTTTTTCTGTTTGCTTTGCAAAAGAGGTATGTGGCAGTTATGTCTTCAGCAGGTGCTTAACGTCCAGGCTAAAGGAAGAGAGAGAAGAGTACATTAGAAACTACTTCCTCTTTTGTACTGCAATTGGTGGGAAAAGGGCAGGAAGAATGAGTTTAACCTTAAGTGATGCAACTGCCAGAAATTTTTCAACCGTTCCCTCATGAAATAACCAGGTTTTCAAATACACCCATCTTGGGTAAAACAGAAGTCAAATTTAATTGTTTCCCAAGAGTGGACCTAGTCAAAGCAAGGAAAGGACACACTGAAGGAACTAGTAATTATCTCATCATTTCTTCTAAGCTTCAATGCTCCTGGAAAGACTTAAGGCAGGTTACTGCCACATATAGCTGTGTTCGCATGTCGCTCTTGCCTCCTAATTTCCTCCTGAAGTGAATCTGATTTCCAGAGTACTCAGGGAAATACACTGAATATGTATCAAGATCATTATTCTTGTATGCCAGATGGATGGTTTACAGCTGCCTGCAGTAGCTGGTATGGTAATAGACTCCTGACATGAATTACATTTAATAAAACCCAGGGAATCCAGCACAGAAAGTTATCATATTTTCAATAATGCCCAGGAGACAAAATATCTTAGTTCTGACCAGAACTTTGCAAGCTAGAGCGTACTGAGGGGTAGTATAAGGTACCCTTGGAGAGAAAGGATTATAACAGCATTATTTTAATCCTACATGTCCTGGGACAAGCAGTTTAATGACCTTCATTTGCATTGTCTGCATTATGAGGAGAAATAATACTTGTCTTCCAAATCCATTAAGGTATATGAAAGTACCTCTCTGAAAATCTTCTATAAAACATCATACTTCACTAGCATTTGCTTATTAGCATGAAATTGGTTCTCAAGCTGTTCCTGGCTTTTGCATGAATTTGGTTTTGCGCCAAAGAACCATACTTCTTTTCTTCTGTTTAATTTGTCTTTGTCTATTCACTTTAAGTCTTGCTCTTCCAGATGAAGTTTCTGCCAGGGTCTTCATGAAAATGCATATGTTTCTTATTTGCTGTCTGTGATACAGTTAGCTGTGCAAACTGAATGTCATGTCAGCTGGCACTTTGCTGCACAGTGTGGATGGGTGCAAGGCATTTGGCTTCTGTTATTTAGTGTTGATGTTGTATTCCTCCTCATGACACGGTTATGTTAGTGCATAAACATTGTGGACAGAAACATCGTTTCAAAGAAAAATGCACTCAACATTTTGGTTTTTAGTTCCGTGTAAAGTAGCATGTGCTTTTATCTGTCATGCTTTTAGTTACCCTTTTATCAAGTTTCAGGTAGACTATGTATTAAGAAAATAGGTTTCTTGGGCTGATCTGACTCTCTTGAGCAGGGCATAGGAGCAAAGGCATTTCAAGTATTGTGCTTACACATAGGTCTACCTTATTTAAAGTTTAATTTAGTCCATCAAAAGAAAATGCTACCCAGGGCAAGACTCAGAGCAGCCAGAGCTGTAAGAGAACTCTCGCGAATATACCCTTTTATAATAGCTTGGTGTGCTCCTGGCATGTATTTCTAATGAAATCTAGGACAGTGTAGAAAAGACCCATTTAAGTATTCTGCCTAGCATTACACTCCGGGGAAGTTTCCAATGAATATACTAGATTTTTGAGCCCATCTATTTCACCAAAATTCATGAAGTTGAGTACAGAACTGATGTTTGAAAATCTTACTCAGCCCCTTTTTCCATTGTTAATACAGCAAAAGCTTTATCACTATGAGAGTTTTTATACATAGACTACCCATGGTACTGTACTTTTTGAGTCAGCAGTTGTGCTCAGGACAAAGCTTTTGAAGTTAGCATTTGAAGACTGTAAAAAATAAAAGAAAAACCACTTTAGAGTTACACAGTTGTAAGCAAGGACAAAATTGTCTTTATCTAAGTAATATTTAAATTCTTATCAGATTAGGCATCTACTGCAACATACACAGTTTATGAAGTAGATTCACTGTGATGCTAAAAAAGATAGGGTTGTCAAAAAAATATGAAGTATACTATATATGCATAGCACTCAAATTCAAGTGTATTTGAAATAATTAGCTTACAAATTCAATTGAAATGATAAAGTCTAAGTAAGTACTTAGCCCAGTAAAACACTTAGACATTGAATTTGCCTTACATTCCTTTAAAATTCCATGTAACAACCAATTTGCTGCACAAATCTAAAAATATCTGCACTGAGTTCTTAAGATAGGAGGAATATTTTTTTAATTTGTAAAGCAAACTCTGATATCAGTGGGTTTTCCCTTTTCTAAGAAATTTTTAGAAGTGATTATATTCTAGATTTTATAGTTTTTAATATGTATGAAGGGGAGACAGCAACGAGGTTAGCTGGAGCTGATATTGCAAGGGGTCTTCCAGATGTCTTGCAAATGGATGCCAAAGAATCGTAAGCATGATTTATGCTCCCTTATGTCCTGGACTTGAGAAAGGGTTAGCAGTCATGCTAACCTGCATGGTGGTTCTCTTCTCCTGAGAAGTCTCCATTGGGTATTACATTTAAATGCTCATTTATTTCATTTGCTGGCATGGTAAAGAATTGAATTGTGGTTACAATTACCACTGTTTCAGAGAGCAGAGTTATCATCACGATTCTCCTCATGCTGCACTGCAATGTATCCAGCCTTTTTTTACCAGGTGGGTATACTGTTATATTATTTTTTCAACCACAAAGAACTGTTGCAAAGAATAATAATTTATAACCATATTTTAAAAGATATCTCCTTAATCACAATGTGTAAAGTTGTAAAGGAGGCAGAAAGTTTTACAACATTTTGACGACTTTAAAGTCTGGAGAGTGTAGAGCTATGTTGAGGTGTGGGTGTTTCTGCTGCCTGTCTAGCTGCCATCACGAGGTTTCTGTTGGACAGCCACATAGTCTGTATGTTTTTACCCTTGATAACTACCACCAAAACTTGTATCATTCCTGAAAAGAAATCCTAGTTAATGGAGGAAAAGGGTTTTGTTTAAAGTATGCCACAGACTATTCCCTTCTGGTAAAAAAGCATTTCATTCAGATTGACCTACATTATTACTGCGTGAGTCTGTGGTCTCAACAGAGCTAAAATACTTACATCAGTGTCTCTGAGTCAGTACATAAAGCACTCTACACCAAACTTTCCTACACTTAACCATTTTTTAATTTTGGCAGGTAGAAAAATATAGAACAGACAACAGGTGAGATAAGCATCATATTTCTTCCAGTAAGGCAAAGAGAGCTGTCTGTTGCTAGACAACACATTTCAGCTCAAGACAAGGGAAGTAAACTGCCCAGACAGCTTCAGGACTCCAAAGTGTTCAATGGAGCTAACTGAGAAAGCTGTAAACCTGCCACTACAAATCACCATGCAGAGGAATTATCTCTGAAAAGAGGGAAAAAACCTAAATCCCTGAACTTTCCATCACCCAGGATTCTTTGCCATTTAAGAAAACAAAACAAAAAACAACCAAACAAAAAAGGATGTTTTAGCAAACCTTAAACACCATTACAAACAACACCTTTGAAAATCATTAGGAAAACAGAGATATGAACATCAATTTACCATACTATGGTTATGCCTCATAGTCATCTCATCCTATGTAGAGATTGAATACCTGAGCACAAGAACATGTACAATGAAAGTGTAGCAATTCACCTTCTTTGAAAATCTCTGTGTTCCCAGTTATCTGGTTACCTAATTAGTTACCTGCAGATAAGCTTTGGAAAATGTTGCCCTTAGTCTTTGTGAAATATATCCATATTTTGGACAGAGGAAATTGCTGTCTAAGTGCTTACTACTACCAAGACCTGCACAGGATTTGAACCAAGGTTGATTGCTTAGGTTTTTTTCCATGAGTTGTTGTCCAAGACGCTGGTCTTTTGTGTTTTCTAATTTCCAACTAACAAAAATGCTCTCCTAAACCGAAAATATTAAAAGCAAATCTCTTCCTGAAACTGCTGATCATTGAAAAGTGTAGTGGATAATGGAAAATTTAGCACATCTCTCTAAGCAGAGATCTGTTACGAGGTGTTTGTATAATAGCCTCTGTTGGGTGAAATTATCAGTCTATTGCCACTGAAGATCTACTCATTTGCACTTAGTAGTTTTCCTGCTTCATTAGTTCCCAATCCCTCCATCAGCCGTGTTTTCTGTTCCAAATGTTAGATGCTCATATTCATGCTGTTGGTTTTTATAAATGCCAGGAAGGAGAAACATGAGCATAGCCCTCTTCTATTTGCAGATTTACCTCAAGAAATCCACTGTGATTTGTGCTGCAGAGCCTGGAACTGCTGTGATTTATCCTTGGATACAGGAGGCTTTTACAGTAGCTGTAGGTGTTACAGTATGTGTCTGATAGACACATACTGATAGAAAGAATCCTATGGATAAGGAAACAATTTGTACTCCTGAAGGACATAGTTGGATCTAGTCTTACATTTGTTTAATCCTCTTACATATTCTATTCCCTGCAACTATTCTGTCTCTGCTTCCTTTATTTGATGTGACAGCCATGATGGGTTTGGAGCAGTAAATACATGCTATCAGTGCTTAAGGAATTTTTTATCCTGTTATCATTGTCTTTATCAGCCTAAATGTGATTCCGGATATATTTCCCTCGCTAGACAGATAACAGTAGCACAGCAGCACAAATGTCACCCCCTCTGTCTCCAGGGACAGTCCTGGAGGACAAATTTGGCATTTTAAAAAATTTGCTTCATATGGCTCAATGAGTTTGAGTGCAATCTAAACATGAAGCAGTATCTGGGATAAAAACTCGGTTACACACAGCAGTAGTTTTCTCTGACAGTTTCCGCATTGAGCTGAAGGGAAAACCAGCTTTTCTTCTCCGCTTTCTACTGCTAAGTAAACTCATTGTAGGAACTAAACTAGCCATGTTTGTTCAGTGCAGACTGAGGGAGAAAGCAGCTTCTTTTCTCTTGAGGAAAAAGAAAAAAAAAATTCAAGAGAAAGGAGCATTTCCATGACTTTGTAAAGGAGTTCTTGCCAAAACTTTCCTAATTTCAAGCAGGAAAA